TCTAAGATAACCAAAAATATTCATAAAATCTTTGTACAAGTAGTCCTCAGGTTACGACAGCAGTTGGGACTGGTATTGCCGTTGCTAAATGATGCAATTGTAAAGTATGACATCATGTGACTACATCACTTAGCAACAGCACTCCTGGCAGTCCTGATTGCTATCTTAACCCTAAGACAGAGGTCCCCAACCTTTTGAGCACCAGGGACCAATTCCGTGGAGAAAGATTTTTCCGCGGACTGGAGAGTGTGTGGTTTTGTATGCTGCTTGCATCCCACAGATGGGGATTTGCTTATTTGTGGGGATTGGTTGCTGGCATGCCACGGATAGGTACTGGTCCACGGATTGGGTTTGGGACCCCTGCCCTAAGACATGCAGGTTGCCATACAGGAAATGGTGGAAGTCCAAGATAAGGAGTATGAAGGTACCCTGGGGGGGGGGGAATGAGAGGGGCCCGGAGAGCATGGGTGGGGAAATGCTATGCATGGGACCAGCTTACAAATTTACCTACTGGCTTCCCTATTGACTTTGCTTGTGTAAAACCAACAAGTAATCCCACAAATTATGATCACAATTGCTTACAACATTATCATGAGCTGGGCACCTGTATGCCTGAATTGCAATCCTGTGACCGTGGGGGAACTGGGTCAAGCATTCTCAGAACTGGACACAATATTCAGGATGACCAATCCAAGGTAAAATGGAACTATTATATTCCAAGGAGTAAAAAACAAATTGATGCAGTCCCTGAAGTTCCAGCCATTGCAATCCCATGAAAAACATCCTGTTTTTCAGTGCTGCCATAACTTTTGGCAATCAGTGAACAATTATGTATTAATATTATAAACTGAGTCAGCTCCTTATTTCCACTTCATAAAAATTAATAAATCTATTGTTTAACCTAATCCCACTATACCAGGCATGTAAAACTCGCGACGTCACGTGACATCGCGTGATGTATCGGAGCTTTTTCGCCATTGCCGGCAATGGGGTGGGCGCAGCTCCGGTATGATGAAACCGGCCCACGGGCCAGCAGTTTGACACCCCTGCACTATACATTGCTAATCAATGACATATATTGTTGGAGATCATATACAGTAGCTAACTATATTTTGGCCTAGCATGATATGTGAAAGCAGGTGCTGTGTTTACTTTTAGTTTTTGGTTTACCATGTCATGACAACTAAGAAGATTGGGTGCAATGGTGTTTAAATTTACCATAGATAAATGTGTTATAAAACAAAGTATTTATGAATAACACAATCTGCTCTCAAACAACATGCAACTACAACAGGCCCAAAATTCATTTTTACCTGGTGGGTTCTTGGCAGGATCATTGTGGCTTGGACTTTCTGATTGTCCAGAATCTACCAAACAAAAAAAATATGAAGAAATATGTATTATTTGTTTTTAGCATGTAACAAAGTTTACAGTGTTCTGAATGAATCAGTCTGTATAATGTACATTTTGAAAAAAATCACTGCTATCAATGAGGAATGAGGGGCATGAATGGATTGGTTCCCATCATGAAAATTCTGCTTAATAGTTATGCCCGCCTGGCCTATATTTCGTAGAATACACAAATGGAAACACTGCATTGTAACTGAAGAATGGGAAAAAGTATCATTCCCAAAATGGTGAGGTATAAAAATGGTTAAATAAACAAATGCTATATCAACCACACATTCAGAAACCCCTATGAGGTTCAAGAGCTATAAACATTGCTTAAATAAATAAATAAATAACACTTTAAAGGAACAATCTCTTCAAGAGCCACAGGAAACATATACGATAACGTCCAAACCTCCCCCATTAAAATGTTCTCTGTCTATAAATTTATTGAGCTTAGCCCCAAGTTAGCATCATTGGATGCAGATATAATATGAATGCAGGGCAGTGGTTCTCAACCTTTTTAATGCCGTGACCCCAACCGGTCGTAAGTCGAGGACTAAACCGGTCGTAAGTCGAGGACTAAACTGGTCGTAAGTCGAGGGCTACCCAACCGGTTGTAAGTCGAGGACTTTCCCTGCCTGGGAGCGCTGCGCATGCGTGGTTCCGCCCCCCGCACCAGCCGAGGCGTAGCTGGCAAGCGGCAGAGACAGAGCAGGCCGACCACCAGCTGGCCCAGCCCAAGGGAGGTAAGGCACCCGCCGGAAAAGGGGAAAAAATGGCGGACAAAAAAATGGCGGACAGCCTTGCTTGGCGACCCCCGTGAAATGGCCGATCGACCCCAAATGGGGTCCCGACTCACAGGTTGAGAACCACTGAGGTAGAGGATACTACCCACTCCCAGACTACTTGCTGTTTGTTCAGCATCTGCATTGCTTATACCAGTGGTTCTCAACCTTTTTAATGCCGCGACCCCAACCGGTCGTAAGTCGAGGACTAAACCGGTCATAAGTCGAGGACTAAACCGGTCATAAGTCGAGGACTTTCCCTGCCCGGTTCCACCCCCTGTGCCGGCCGAGGCGTAGCTGGCAAGCGGCAGAGACGGAGCAGGCTGACCACCAGCTGGCCCAGGCCAAGGGAGGTAAGGCACCTGCCGGAAAAGGGGGGAAAAATGGCAGACAAAAAAAATGGCGGACAAAAAAAATGGTGGACAGCCTTGCTTGGCGACCCCCATGAAATGGTCAATCGACCCCAAATGGGGTCCCGACCCACAGGTTGAGAACCACTGGCTTATACAATATGGGTTGTATATGAACTTAAAAGGGAAGAATCTAACAGACTTCATAACTAGGCAATGCCTGTTCGCAACGCAAATGGTTACCTTGATCTTCCAAATTTTGTTTTCAGTCAAAAATAAGAAGTTACAAAGGAACTACTTTGTAAAGTAAACTGAGGGTCACCAAATAAAACAGAAGAAGCTGTTAAGACACCTGCTGCTCACACCAAAACGCAAGGGACAGCTAGCAGAGAATTTAGAGCTGACCCCACTCCTGAATCTACTAGAAAAAAAAGAACTGTGGAGGAATTAACTCTCAAGCAGAAAAAAGGCAGATATGAGATAAGTGCATTTATTACTTGCAGACCAATCAGATCACTCCATATATTTCCAACTATGGAGTGAACAGAAAGCAATGGGACTGCAAAAGGCAATTATTCTGTACTTGAGTAAGCTGTCCATGGTGGAAGCTTTTGATAAATTTACTACACACCAAAAGGGCTTACATCTAGAAGAGGAGGATGCACATGAATTCTGCTAATATTTAAACAATCAACACACCCTTGCATACTTTTCAAAATGAAGCTCTCCCTGAGCATCTTCTCTATATTTGTAGAACATTTCTTCGGTTTAGAGAAATCTAGCCTGCTTTTGGAACAGTTTTGTATCACCACTTTAAAATCTAAGTGTAAAAATTTGAATTTAGGTAACTTCAGAACATTTTCACCAGCAATGATTTAAGAAAAGCTTTAACCAACAAACTTAAATTAGCTAGAGAATGTGCTGAGGTTGTAAGTCACAGTTCTTGACGTAAAACCATTTGCTGAACAACCGTTCAAAGTTACGACCGCCTCAGAAAAAGTGACTTATGGCCGATCCTTGAAGCTATAATTTTTACACTATTCCAATGTTCACATGATTGCAATTCAGATGCTTGGCAACCAGCTCACATTTACAATGGTTGCAGCATGTTGCAGACATGTGATCACAATTTGCAACCTTCCTATCCAGCTTCACATAAGCATAGTCAATTAGGGAAGCTGAAATTGTTTAACAACTGTGTGATTCACATAATCACTATGTGATTTGCTTAACAACCATGGTAAAAATGGTCATAAAATTAGGT